CCCATCCCCCAGATCTGGCCCTGACCCCAGCTGCTCAGGTGGCTTCTTCTCTGGATGCCCAGAAGCTGGTCTGCCCCGAGGAGGGGACCCCTAACCCCTGAGTCAACACCTCCCTGGCCTGGCAGCAGGGCTGCCACTGGAAGACAGGCCTCGCTGTCCAGCCCCTGACCAGGTCAGGCGCAGGGCCTGTGGGGGAGGATGTCCCTGTGCCACAGGCTGGTAACCGGCAGCAGCGACAGTTAGCCAGGCCCCTGAGCGTAGCTGCATGCCTCAGCCTTGGCACCCAGCCCCCTACACGGCCCAGGGATGCTGGCTGAGGACGTCTGGTCTGCAGCCCTGGGGCCTCCACGCCACTGGCCTGGGAGACAGAAGGGAGCGTGGAGGTGGCTCCGTCCCTGTGTCTGCCCCAGGGGCCCAGCAGGAGAGGAGCCCCCGAGGCCAGCAGAGCCCAGGTCAGTGCCTGCAGGAGAGGAAGCGGTGGAGGCCAGGGGCGTACCACCAGAGAGGACCCGAGGAGCTGGGGACACAGGTGGAGCTCAGGGGGCCGAGGGGGCAGGGCCCTGTGGAGGTGGAATCATCAGCCCCACCCTAAACACCACCGACAAGCCTCCTGAGGCAACACCCGAGGACTCATTATCTCCAGGCGACTCCAGGGCCTCAGGAACACTTGCAGGAGCCCAGGAACATCCAGCACTCCACCAGGTGAAGTTGGCAGCGTCGGGCACGGGATCAGAGACCACCGCACTAGCCGAGAATGCAAGCCACAAGGGAAGAAAAGCCAGCAATGAGATGGCCCAGAGATGAGGAGGAGAGGAGGGACGGACGGCTGGAGAGGGGCCAGTGTAGGACATCGAGGGCTCGCTGCCCCGGGCCAGCGGGAGCTTGCAGGAGGTGCGGACACCTGGAGGCCTGGGAAGGGGCTCCTGGCCAGGACAGGCTCATGCCCCAGAGACCCCACCGTGGCGGGGGCGGAATTGGATGAAAACTGAAGACTTGAGATCCAAGGACCCTCAGGACCCCCAACCACGGGAGCATGAGAAACCTCGAAGGGGTCATGGGGACCCAGGGGCCCGGTGCTGGAGCTCTGAGCCCACCCTTGGACACCAGCCCTGCGTGGCCCTGGCCAGCCTTCTGCCCCAGCGGACTCCAAGGATGTGTGGTTCTGACCTCTCCTGCCTCCTGGAGGCTGAGCCAGGCTGCACACACAGCGGGTGCCCGGTTGCTATCTGGGGTCAGCGGAACCCCTCCCTCACACTGCTGCGGCCCTGCGTTGCCCTCTGCTCTCCCGGGCCCAGCCTTCCAGGTCTCCACGGAAACTGGCCTCGGGTCTGACCACATGTCTCCCGCGCCGCTGCCCGTTAATCAGAGCCCCCAAGGGCTCCCTGCCCCCGCCGCCCGCCCGGCTCTTTCCTGGCTCTGCCTCGGCGTTCTCAAAGCCCTGGGGGTGCTTTAAAAACTCTCTGGATTCTTGTAACCCCGTTTATTTCTCTTAACGCTGGCAGCCTGACAGACTCTGGTTATTCTTAGTGCTAAATTATTTATCTCCCTTCCCCTCCTCACCCGCACTCCACGATCTTTAACATGGCTCCTGGGGCTCAGCAGAGGCCCATTTTTCCCCCACTCAAAATGAAGTAATTTTAAAATCTTTTGTCTTTAATTTTTTATCACCCAAACCATGCATGTGGTATTTGTTTATCAAGGGGTCGAAGCCTGGCCAGGCACTGAGTCCCGGCACTCTCCGCCTCTAGCTCTGCATTGGCCATGAGCCACTTCGGGGCCCTGAGTGACAGGAAGTCACTGGCCTCGGAAGGCAGGGGTGGAGGAGGAGGCTACAAACAGTACCAGCCTCCGGGCTCCCCAGACCCACTGGGACGGACCTCAGGAAACAGCCCAGCCGGACCCACCGGCCCTCGACCTGGAGCGCACACCTCCAGGCTGGGTGGCCAGTCAGCCCCTGTCCACTCATCAGGAGGCCAGAAAGGCCAAGAGCTCAGCCAAGGGACAGATGCCGGCCACACCACCTGAGGGAGGGCTCTGCTGGCCGCACTTCCCTCCCTGGAGATGACCGACCGCCCTGGCAGGAGGGACAAACCCACCATCCCTCACTGAAGCTCAGAAACCACCTGGATCCCAGCAACTCAGGAGGCTGAGGCAGGAGGACTGCAAGTTCCAGGAGAGTTTAGCGAGATCCCGTCTCTAAATAAATACAGGAAGGGCTGGGGACGTCGCTCAGTGCGGCACACACACCCCTGGGTCAAATCCCCACTACCACAAAAGAAGAAAGGAGCCCGTGGGCAGGACCTCGGAGCCCCCCCCTGGAACTTGGGCTTGGGTCAGCAGCCAGTCTTAGGCACAGGCTCTATCCACCTCAGGGGCCGGGCAGTCTCTGGTGGCCAGCGTGGCCAGAGCGAGGTCACACCCCCTCAGCCGGAGCCATCTCCAGACAGGAAGACTCAGGCAGGACTGGCCACTCTCCCTTTACCTGCCAACTCTGCTTCCCGGACTCAGGAGGCTCCACGTGACACCGGCCCTTTGTCCCGGCGGGGGGTGGGGGTGGGGGGGACAGCCACATGTGGGTGCTTCAGCCTGCCAGCACCCAGCTGCCTGGTGCCCCTTCCGGACACAAGATAAGCACATCCTTCCGTGCCTCCAGCAGGCTCTGGGCCTCGCCGGCCCCAGGTCGCGGCTGCTGCAGAATGCACTCTGCACTGCCCTGGGCCCCCAGCTGCCCAGAAGCTGCACCTCGGTTCTGTGAGAAGGGGGGCGGCCCTGGACACAGACTGTGTCACCCTGCTGCCCAGCGTCCCTGGGATTAGACAAAGGGCTCATTCACTGAGGCCCACAGTCCATGGAGCAGAGAGCCGGGCCAGAGGCCACCCGGGGACTCTCTCCAGGAGTGGATGCCGTAGCGGTGCCAGAGAACTGTGAGCACTCTGCCTCTGAAGGCAGAGGAGGGACCCCAGAGAGCAGCCGGGCACATGTGCCTGCCCAGTGCCCCACGGGGACGCGAGTCTCTGCCTTCCTGGGGCCCTCATCACCCCTTCCTGTTTGCTGGCCCTGCTTTGGGTGGACGCAGCTCAAAGAGGGGCCCGGGAAGGCTCTCAGGGCTCTCTTCTCCCCGCAGGCCTGCTGGGACCACGGCAGAGCTGGTGGCAGACGCATACCCAGGTAGGGAGCTGTGGTGGCCCACGGTCAGGGCCCACGGGCATTCGTCCACTTCTGGAAAGGCGGGCAGGAGTACAGCAGGCACCCCAGCCAGCCAACCTGCTCACAGTGGACGCCGGGGCTGCCGGCAGTGTGGGGTGTGGACCCCAGGCCCTGGGCCTGGGAGACGGGGCCCGGAGGGGGAGGGGTTCGGGCTGCTGGAGGGCCGGGCGCTT